TACGTTGCATCAGGTAATGCGCATTCCGTCTCCTGTCGGTGTTAATCTGCAGGATTTGTAGGAGCATTTATATGATGTCTGTGGCTCCTCCGAGGCCACTCCCAACGTCAGAGGAACCTTCTCCCATGTCCTCCTATGAGTTTCCTTGCGCCAGGTGTCCCTCCTCATGGGTAGTTTCTGTATTTTCCGGTAGCTTGGTTATGAATTCCACGTCTTCAGGGAGTGCGTCCAGTCTCCTTTTGTGCCTATTGTTTTTGCTGGCACCCTTCACTGCTGCTCTTGGATACCGGGACTCTCCTTTCCAGGCGACATCTCACCATACCGACTCTCAGTTCCTCCCTTTGGCGAAGGTTTTCGGCCAAAGTCTTTGGTACAGTGACCGTCACCGCTGCCGTGTCGTCCCGGAGCAGCCTGATCTCACTCAACCTGCAGTCCTCTGTCCATCGCCCTATTATTCTAGTGATTGCTTCTCTTACTTCATTCTCGCTAACATCTCCTTTCATTCCCCTGAGCTGGTAAGTCTCTGTGTTACCCCTGCCCAGCTGTCTTGCTTTGATGTGTCCTTCACTTTCTATAGCCCTTTTTATTTCCGTAAGAGCCTCCGGGTTCTTGTCTAAAGTGAGCAAGAGGCTGCCATTCCTAGTTTTCCTTATGCCCTTTATGGCTTTCGCTGCCTCCTTACCTCCAACAACATTCTTGACTTTGCCCAGGATATCCCTGTATGTCTTCCCGCCTTCACTCACCACGATACCATAGTTATTTGGCTCTTTGGTGCCACTTTTTTTTTGTGCTGTCGTATAGATATCTACCGAGGTGGTTGATGCGTGGAAGATGGTCTCGACCATCTTCCTCAGCCGCTCAATAGGAATGTTTCTCAAGGGATGAATGCAGATCTTTGCATCCCTCTCCGTATCCGCTTTAACTACGTTTAGCTTCCTCCATAAATCAGATTGCGTTCCATCGAACAGAACCTTAATGACCCTCCTACTGGTCGTGGCACCCGTTCCTTTGACCCTAGTAATCTGTTCGATCTGTTCAACTTCTCCCTGAAGCAAGGGGAGTTCGGGGAACTTTTCCTTGAACATTTTCTGTATGCTCATGTTCATTTCGGGATCATCCGGCTCTACTAGGACTACCTTCACCACGCTGTTTTGTGTGGTCAATGGATTGCCATAAATTATATCCGTTTTAACGTAGACCGTGTGTTCCCAAATGCGACTCTCAAGAGTCTCGTACTCCAGAAAGTCCGTACTCCAGCATTCTAAAATTTGCCTCCTGTTTATACTTTTAAATAGCGAATCTATTCTCTTTCCTCGGACTGGTGCATCCTCTCCTCTGCCTCCTTTTGTTTGACGACACTTCTAACATATTTTACGGCCTTTTCCCATTTCTCTCTTGATGTTAACATATCCTCTATCAAGTTGTCCGGAGTCATGTCCCTCCCCGACTCCACTTCGTAGGTGTATCTCTCCCTCATCCATCTGGTGCATTTGAAAATGGTGTGTTCTACATCGTCTATATTCTTGCAGTAGATACAGAGGTTGTCAGTTGTTTTGCCTATCCTATTGGTGTACATTCTGAAGGATCCATGACCCGTTAGGAACTGGGTAAGGAAGTAATCCGTTTGTTTGTGGGGGCACTTCAACCACACTAAGATGTTTGGGATCAACCTCTTTGTCCATTGGGCTTTTTCTTCGTTTCCCTCCCATTTTCCCTTCCATGCTTCTAAAGTTTTGAGTCTTTCCTTTTCTTTTATAGTAGTTGTGACAGCGGCTCCAGTCTCATCCAATCGTCCTCTTTCGTTCACCAGGAGGTCAATGGGGGGTATTCCAGCAATCACGCAGAGGGCTTCTGCTGATACTGTCCTGTAGGCTGACGTCACTCTCAGTAGAATTTTTCTCTGAGATGCCGTTACCATCCTTTTATAGGTGTCAACTCTCATAACGCTTTTCCACACCGGTGCTGCATACAGAATGACAGATTGTACTACCCCATATATCAAGCGTCTCTTTTGCGTTCTTGGCCCTTTCATGTTTGGTAGGAGCTTGGACAGAGCAGTTGTATGTCTGTCCGCTTTTTCGCATGCCCTTCTTGTGTTCTCATTAAAAATGAGTTCCATTATGTTCCATAATGTCGGTCCTATTATGGAACCTTGCGGTACCCCCTGCGTCATTTCCTGTATATAATTTCCGCATTTAAGTGTTCTATGACTGAGGTAATTTACCACAACCTTTGTCAAATAGCCGCTGATCCCGATTTCCTGGAGCTTGTCTATAATCTTTCCCCATTTTGCGGTATTGAAGGCATTCTTCACATCTACAAAGATGATTGCCCCCCAAGTGGGAACTCCTCCACTCGCAAGTTTGAGTACATGTTTTATTGCTTGTACTGTGGATCTGTTAGCTCTAAAACCGAATTGTGTCGGTGATATGCCATCGAGTTCTGTAAGTTCTAGTTCTAGCCTGTCTTTCAGTAGGTATTCATATAGCTTGCCTATACAATCGATGAGGCATATCGGCCTAACTTTCAGTTGCTCGTGCGGATTATTCCCCTTGGGTATGAGAATGACCTTCGCCCACTTCCACCTCTCNTGAAAGCAGGGCACCCCATGGAGCCCAATTTGTGGCCCTCCATTCTGCACACTGGGCAGTAAATTTCATTTGTACAAGCTGCTGCATTGTGCCCTCCTTTGCCGCATTTGAAACAGTTTGCTGTCCTGTCCTATCCCTTACAATTTTCAGAGTTGTGTTCGTAACTCCAGCATTTTCTACAGTTTGGCACACTGTGTCTCATCTCCACCTTACATCGGGCCAGGCCTACCTTTATGAATCCCTGGGTTACTACTGCCTCTGCTATCTTTTTTGGCGGCTTCAAAGTGGCTGTTACTGTATTGTTTCCTGTCGGTCTGGTTTCACTTATCCCCCAGTTCTCTTCCCAGGCTTCTACTACTGTCCTCATAGCGTCCACTATCTCATCTTTTGTGGTGTCGCAGAGCATTCCCCTAATATATATGCTCTCCATTCCGGTCTCTCCGCCTAGGCTGGTTATCTTCATCTCCCCCTCTTTTATTAGTGCATCTTTAACCTCTTCCAAGGCCCTTTGGTTCTTATCCATGGTTATCAGCAATTTTCCTCCTCTAGTACTTCTAACCTCTCTTATGGAGTTTGTTACCTCGTTTCCGTCCATAGCTTTCATAGCCTTCTTTACCTTATTATTTAGTACCTCGCTATATGTTCTTCTCCATCTGAGACTAACAACCCATATGTCGTCCTTTCCCTCTTAGGTATTTCTCCCCCGCTTGTTGTGAATATCTCCACCTGGTGTTCCCAAGGTGAAAGACAGCCTCAACCATTTTTTGGAGGTTTTTGACCTCCATCCATTTGACATGGTGTATGTATATTTCCTCGTCCCCTTCTGTTTCCTCTCTGAGTTTCATAAGTTTATCCCATGTATCTTTGTGTGTGCCGTCCATCGTTACTTTCACCACCTTTTTCCTTATCTGCTTTCCTGTCCTTCTCACTTTAGTGATTTGTTCTATTATCTCTATGTCTCCTTCTAGCCTCACTAGCTCCGGGTACTTATCCCTATATAGCTTTTGGATACTTCGGTTCATCTCTATGTCATCCGGCTCTATCATCACTACCTTTGTTGTTTCATCAGCAGTTTCTAAAGGGTTTCCTACCGTTATTTTTGTTTTCCTATATATCTCTGCTGCCCATTCCATTTTTTCCATTTCACAGTAATCTTCATATCCTATTTCTGCTTCTGGGAGCTCATTTATGATGGAGTTTCCACATCTGCATTCACAATTGCATGCATTCTTTTTCACTAGTTCTTCTCCACTTTTTATTTTTTCTTTCATATTCTCTATTACTTTTTCCATTTCTTCCATTCTTCTCTCGGCTCTTTCCATTCTTTCTTCTACCATCCTTTTTTCCTCCTTCAACTTGTTCATTTGGCTGTTTTCTTGCTTTTGATAGTTAGCTTTTTCTCTTTTCGCTTTGTCTTCTAATTCCTGTATCAGTTTCTTCATTTCCTCGACTTTTTTCTCGGCTCTTTCTACTTTTTCCTCGGCCACCCGTTTTTCCTCCTCCATTCTATTCATTTCGTCGATTTTTTCTTTTTGATCTTTATTTTTCCCTCTCTCCTCTCTGGTTTGCCTCATGGTTTCCTGTACTTGTGTTAGAAACTTTGTTCTTTCTTTCAGTTTCCCCACCTCTGTACTAATACGGCTGGAGAGTTTCTTGATCTCTACCTTCGTGTTTGTATGTCCCTTTATCAATGTCGTCATCTGTGCCGCCATCTCTACCATATTCTCCACTGTCCTTTCCAGTTTTTGGAACTCCTGTATTCTTCCCTCTATGTTGGTTTCTGATCCCCCTTGTTTCTCTGGAGTCCCCCTTCTTTTACTTTTTTTTTAGTTGTCCCGGCTCCTTCTCTTCGTCCGTGAGGTCTATCGTTTCCAAATCTTCCTTACTTCCCTCCGAGGTAACTGACCTCGATAACCTAACCTAACCTGACCTAACCTAACCTAAACTAACCTTTTTTTTTGGGTGTGTGGAAAACCTTTTATAGGCACCATGAGCTGGTTTCAATTGCTGCATGGTAGTGCCGGAATCGTACAGCTAAACTGTCCATACCGGCTAAAAACCTATGTTAACGAGGTAGTCTGAGATGTGCATCCTCTTGAGATTTCTCAGTATTATGTCCCAGTTCGCCGTGTTGAATGCATTTTTAACATCGACCGTGACAAGTGCCTGCCATTTATGTTTGCAGTCTCTCCTCAGCCTGCATACTTTCTCCAATGCCTGTATTGTTGATCGGCCCCTTCGGAAGCCAAATTGGTTATCTGACAATGCTCCTCTTGCTTGAAGCTCTTTTTCAAGTCTAGTTTTAATCAGGCCCTCATACATCTTGCTGAATGAGTTCAGCAGACATATGGGCCTGTAAGCAGACGGATCTTCAACAGGTTTTCCCTTCTTTGCAATTAGTACAAGTTTGGCACTTTTCCACTCTTTTGGAAATGCTTGTTCTTCCAGGAGTGCATTCATAGCCTCAAGCATTCTTTCCGGGATGATTTGAAAGCACCTCTTGATAGCCTCAGATGGTACTCCGTCAGGTCCTGGCGCCTTCCCATTTTTAAGTGTTCTTACTGCTTCCTTCAGTTCCTCATTGGTGAAGGGTTCTATGCCGGCCACGTTTTCTGAATTCCTTGGCATTACTTCCCTGCATGGAGGGAAAAGGTGTCGAGCAATTTCTTTTTTTCGGACGCTGGTCAGTTCGGTAGGCGTTAAGAATCCCATTCTACCCGTTGCTATCTTATAGCCAGTACCCCATACGTTCGTGTTGAGTTCTTCACATATGTCGTTCCAGTGGTTCTTTTTAGCGATTTTTATGAGTATTTTCAACTCTTTTCTGCAGGTTTTATAGTTATTTTCCATCTCCGGCGTTGGTTCCATAGTTCTGGCCATCCTAGTCAGTCTTCTTCTCTGGGAAGTGCACTCCTTTCTCTTATCTGCAATTTCCACGCTCCACCAATAAGGAACTGTTCTGATAACACCTCCTGTTTTGTTCATGCTCTTTTTGTAGCATTCTCTAATATGCCTTGCTAGGCCTTCTGGCGTTCCATTTATATTCATGTTCTCAGTTAGGCTTGTGCTGAATAGATCCCAGTTTATATCCGGTTTTATTTTCTCAGTAGTTCTGCACTTTTTGTTACGCGATGTGACTTCGAAATAGATATGCTGGTGGTCGGTGAGAGCCTCCGTCTCCCATACTTCCCACTTTTGTATAGCTCTGGCCAATTTTTGCGTGGCCAGAGTAATATCAATCCAGGAACTGGAGTTACCTCTGACAAAAGTTGGCTTTTCCCCGGTGTTGATTACTATTAAGTCCTGAGTAGAAATGGATTCTGCTAAGATAACGCCCCTCTCGTCTTCAATTGGTGACCCCCAGAGGGGTGATTTTGCATTGAAATCACCCACCAGTATGTATTCACCGTCTAGTTTGTGGCAGTATTCTAGCAAGATGCGAATCCTATTCTCATATGTTCCTAGGGCCATATTAGGTGATATATATGTGCAAATCAAACTGAATTCCCTCAATTGGACGTGGAGGAAACCATCCTTACTTGCCACTTTTAGGACCTCTGTGTTTCTATTCTGAAATAAGACGGCCACATCGCTCCGTTGATCCTTCAACCAGGTTCCTTTCTCAACAAGTTGTTTATTTGGCTCTCCGGCCACCAGCACGTCCACGTCATTCTCCATTGCGCTTGCTAGTGCGAAATCATGGGCATTTCTGGATCTATTCAGATTTGTCTGCAATATTTTCAATTTATTTAGCTCGGTTCATCGTCGAGCAGCTCCACTCCGGGTCTGAGTTCACTTTCCTGGGAAGCAGGAGTATTATAGTTGCCTATGGCGTCTAGCGTCATCTGTGCTTCTCTGATCTTGTCTGAGAAGTCTTTCAGATATTGATCCATTTCTTCCGGGTGCTCCTCCTTTTCGGTGTGCTTTCCTCCTAGCTCCTGGTCTGGCGTTTCCTCAGGTTTCTCTGCCTTCTTTTTCACCAGGTCCGTTATATTAATTTTCCTTGCCCCTCTCCAGGTCTTTTGTTTACGTTCGTCTCTCCTGGCTATAGTCAGTGCGTTCTTAAATTCCGGACACTTCATCGTGCCCGCTTTATGTCCTTTTGTTCTGCAGACAGGGCAGGCCTCTTCATTATTGCAATCTTTGAGATGATGCCCCTCCTCTCCACATTTATAGCAATGCTTTGCCAGGTTTGGTCCCCTGCACTTGCTCGACATGTGGCCTTATTTCCAGCACTGGTAGCATCTGTCGACTTTAAGTCGTCTTTCTACCCAGCACCTCACAATGCCCACCCGCAGGTACTCGTCATCCATTAATATACTCGCGTCATCTTTTCCTAGCGTCACGGTGGCCGCCATGGTGCCGTTGTTTTGGGGGCGAAGGTCGCTAACTTCCATGCAGCTTTCGTCCCAGTGTCCCAATCTTTTCGTTATCGCCTCTTCCAAATCTTTCTTTCCAGCCTCCATGTCCATGCCTCTTATGTGAAGCACCGTTCTCTGGCTAGTTTTGTCTAGTCGTCGAACTTTCAGGTTGTCATCCTCCCTGAGGGCTTTGTGTATTTCTGTTAGAGCCTGTTCGTCTCGGTCTAAGGTTATTAAGAGCTTCTGTTCTTTTGTGCTCTTCAAGCTTCTGATAGCCGTCGATGCTGGATTTTGCTTCACTATGTCCTTGCATCTTGTTAGTATGTCTTTATAGGAGAGGCCTCCTTGGTTAATAAGGAGCCCGTAGGTGTTTGGTTGCTTCCTTCTTTCTGGTTTGGTCCTCGAGCATACCCGGACTCTGGTTTTAGAGCCATGGAATACTGCCTCCGCTACTTTACGTAGGTCCTCTGCCGTTAAATTTTTCACCTCATGCATAGCAATGTAGGGATCTTCTGGGGTCTCATTCAGCAATTGTTGCATTCGATGCCATATGTCAGTCATAGTTCCGTTGTGTGTGATTTTTATTATTTTCCTTCTTTTCTCTTCATTAATATCTCTGGATCTTATGCGTGTGCATTGCTCCAGCACTTCGAACTCACCTTTCATGTCCTCCAAATCTGGGTACTGGTCCTTAAAAGCACTTTGTATTCCCGTTTCCATATTAGGATCGTCAGGTTCTACCCATATCACTTTGACCGGCTGTTCGTCCGTTTTCAACAGGTTATTATTAATGATTTCCGTATTCCTGTATAGATCCTTAGGCCATGGTCTATCCTTGATTTCCATGAAGGATTCTAATGAGACTATTCCTTTTAGGGTTTCAATGGGCTCCTCGGAACTGCTTCCATAGGTCTGAGTGGCAATTTCTTTCGTCTTCCGCTCCGTCTGCGTATCCGCATCTATATTAATTTTTTCCACTGGTTCGTACCTGTTTCTCTCCAACCACGCAATAACCGACTCCCTTTCAAACGTATTTACATTTCTTCTCATTTTCATGAGTTGGTCCTTTATACCTTTTTGTGTGTTGGGGTATACTGACACCAGTTTCTCCAATTCCATCATATTCACCTTAATGGATTCTAAAGCCTCTCTAATGGTGAAAGCCTCAGGACTTTCTTTTTTCTTGTATATCCCACTTTCTGGGTGTGCTACCTCCGTTGCCTTCCTCTTTTTAATCTCCGGCAGTGACGTCCGTCTCAATCTAAACGTCTCCGATACTTCCGAAACGTTGCTTCTTTTAGCTATGCTACCGCCAGCTAATTCTTTTAAAAGGTTTTTATCATTATTTTTTGATTCTTGATTCATGTTATTCCCACGAGCAGCTAGGGAAATAAGCTGTCCGTCCCTGCAGAGCCCCGCATGCAGGGATAAGGCTAAAGTCCCCACTGGGTCGCCAGGTCCAGTGGGCATCGCTCGAGACACGCCTTGCCCCCCGTGCCATGCATCCCTTCACCGCGATGGTGTTACACCTTGGGATTGGGGGTGGTATCTCTCTTAGTCTGGCTTCTCTCCTTCGACCCGTCCGGCAAGGGTGACCCTACTGGTAGCAACGCTACCTCCGGCATGGCTCTTGGGATCATAAAAGCACACAAGCCCCATCACCACGACAAGGTGGAGACACCATCGATGGGGAACCTAACCTAACCTAACCTAACCTAACCTAACCTGGATCGTGTTATCAATTGGTCATTCATAATTCCAATCATTGTTTCTGGTATTATTTCGGCTGCCAGTTTGACCGCTTCGGGAATTATTCCTAACCTTTTTTTTTTGTGGTATGGACATCAAGCCGCTGGCCGCTTGGTGTCCATCGCGAGCCAGTAGTGCCGGACTCGTACCGGCTAAAACCACCCCTCGCCCTCTCCTGACTCGGAACCACCGATGTGGCATAACATCAAGTACAGGCGGCGTGTTAAATTAAAAATTACGCAATTTACGCATACCACATCGTACCAACAGGTGTAAATATCACAGTTTATATCACAGTTTATTATACCCGGTCCCTTACTCGTTGTCAGCAGTCACAGCAGGATCCATGCTCTCACCGTCTTTCCTGATTCTGGGCTTCCGTATCTTCTTTCTCCTTTCTTTCCATCACGCTGCGGAGGTAGGTGGCGCCTGCGCGCCAGTTTCCTTGCTCGCTTATCATAAACCCCACAAAGTTATCCGGGCTCACCCTATCTCCAACGGCGGCTTCCAATTCGTGCCTTGCAGAATGCCATCTCGGGCATGCAAAAATGGTATGTTGCGTATCATCGTCCGCTTGGCAGTACCTACATCGAGCATCCGCTGTTTTCCCTATTCTAAAGGTAAAGCTTCCGAAGGAGCCGTGTCCTGTTAGCGCCTGCGTGACGAAATATTCTAGGTTCTTGAATTTACAATCTAGCCATGGCTTAAGGTTTGGGATCAGTCTCTTTGTCCACTGTGCAGTACTCGTGTTGGCTGTCCATCTCTGTTGCCACTTCCCTATCGTCCTGTTTCTTTCTTCGGCCCTTACTTCTTTCGTGAGCGTCTCCCGGTCATCCAGCCGCCGTCTTTCCTCCACTAACAGATCGATGGGGGGTATACCGGTGATAACATTCAGGGCATCGGCAGATGCGGTTTTATACGCCATTGCGACCCTCGACAACATTCGCCTCTGGACTCCGGTTAGCATATTCCTGTATCTGTCGACAAGCATCACTCGCCCCCATACCGGTGCCGCGTACAGAAGTGTCGATTGTACTGCCCCATAGATTGCCTTCCTCTTTTGCCATCCCGGTCCCCTTATGTTGGGGAGGATCCGAGCCAGGGCGGCCGCCTGTCTATCAGCCTTTTCCCTGGTCTTTCTGATATGCTCATTAAAGATCAGCTGGTCGTCTAACCAAACCCCCAAATATTTCACATACTTCTTTGGCTCCACCTGAGTTCCTGCAAAAACGAAGCTAATCCCCTGCCTCTTCCTCGGTCTCTTGATGATAATTGCCTCTGTTTTATGCGGGGCTGGCTGTAATCCGCTTTCAATCATCCAGTTGTTGACCAGATTTAGGCTAGTATTGGCCTTTCCCACCATCCCCAGCATTCCCTCCTCGTGACTTGCCTGTATGATGAGCGCTAAGTCATCCGCGTATGCGGCCGTAAAGCAGCCTGAAGGGAGGCTCAGGCGCAGAACCCCATCGTATAGCAGGTTCCATAAGGTTGGTCCAAGGACTGAACCCTGGGGAACTCCCTGTGTCATTTCTTGGGCATAGGTCCCACACATCAAATGCCGCTCGGAAAAGTAATGCCAAATTATCTCTATGAGGTAGGGGCTCACCTCCGCGTCCTTCATACGTTCTACGATTTTTTGCCATTTAGCCGTGTTGAAGGCGTTTTTGACATCAATTGTTATCACGGCTCCCCATCTAGCTTCTCTGCTGTTGGCTTTTCCAATGGTGTACTTCACCGCCGATATCGTAGATCTCCCTGGTCTAAAGCCAAATTGTCTGTCTGAAATAATAGATCGGTCCTCTAGTTCGGCTTCCAGCCTCAGTTTAATCATATGCTCATAGAGCTTGCCTTCTACATCAAGGAGACTTATTGGCCTGTAGCCCGTTGGTTCCTCACCGCCTCCCTTGGGGATCAGTATGACCTTCGCCCTTTTCCAGGGTTTAGGGAATATCTGGTCTATTAAGAGCCCGTTCACGATTTGTAGCATGGTATCCGGTATGCACTTTACGGCCATCTTCATGGCTTCCGGTAGGACCCCGTCTGGTCCTGCCGCCTTCCTCTGCCTTAATTTCCCGGCTGCGAGCATCAATTCCTGCATATTGAAGGGTGTCCCGGGAGGGCTGGGTCCCGTTCTTTCTTCTTCATGCCTAGGATGATCAGGGAAAAGTTCCCTTACTAGACTCTCCTTTCTTTCCTGGGGCAATTCGTATGGAGTCCTGGTGCTCCTGGTGATGATCCTGTAACCTTGACCCCTTGGGTCCTTCTCCACTCGGCCTTCTGTGCTCTATTGATCTCTTTTTTCAGAACCCGTCTCTTTTTACAGTTATACACTGAAAACTCCTTAAAATACAGGCATGTGAAGCCTTGTGCACTATGATGGTCCATTACTCCACAGTTCCGGTTATTACATAGGATTGCTGTGTTCACATTTTTATCTGTAATCCAACGCGCGTTTTTTTAATTATAGTTAGATTAGGTTCTTGTATTAGAACAATGTCCACTTTTTCTTCTTCCATGGTTTTCTGAAGGAGTTGGTGAGCTCCTCTTCTTCTATCTGTGTTTAGCTGTAAGATTTGTAAGGGCATTTACTGGCTATTTGAAGGTACCTCCGCCGCCACTACCGGAATTTGCAACTCACTACCTTCCCCTACTGTGTTCAGGATAGTACGCTGAGTCGAATTTGTTAACTCTCTATCTGTTATTTCACGGTCTTCTTCACGTGGTGTACCTTCTGCTAACTTTGTTCTAAATTCGACATCCCCGGGAAGAGCGGTCAGCCTCATTCTGTTTCTACCACTCTCTCTAGCCTTCCTTACCGCATCCCTGTAGGTGGGACACCTCATGCTATCCGCCCTATGGCCCTCTTTTTAGCACACTGGGCAGAACTCGTCCCTCTGGCATTCTTGAGCCATATGGTCCTCTCCTCCGCATTTGTAGCAGTTGCGGGTCCTATCTGGGCCATCGCAATTTCCGGTTTTATGAGCTAAGCTCCAGCATTTCCTGCATCTGGGGACTACCACTCTTTTTTCGAATTTACATCTTACAAGACCTACCCTCATCTCGTCCCTCTGTCGAAGACCATCCGCCATGTTCGTAGGGATGGTAACCGTGACCGCGGCTGTGTCGTCCCGCAGTATTCTAATTGGGCTCATTTTGCAGCCTTCTGTCCATTGTCCGATCACTCGGGAGATAGCTTCCCGTATTTCGCCTTCCTCAACATCACCCTCCATACCCCTAAGGTAGTATACTTCCAGAGTTTCCCTACCCAGTTGTTTGGCTTTTATATGGCCCTCGCTGTCTAACGCCTTCTTTATTTCATCCAATGCCTCCGGGTTCTTATCCATTGTAAGCAAAAGGCTTCCATCTCTGGTTTTCCTTATTCCCCTAATCGCCTTTGTTGCTTCCGTACTTCCGATTGCAGTCTTCACTGAACTTAGAATATCTCTATATGTCTTCCCTGCCTCGCTTATCAGTATTCCGTAGTTAGTTGTCTCCCTTACCCTACTTTTCTGTTGGGTTGTGGTATATATATATCCACAAACGTTGTGCCCCCATGGAAGGTAGCCTCCACCATTTTCCTCAAATTCTCCGTTGGAATTTCCTTGAGGTGATGTATACATATTTTGGCTTCCGCCTCTGTCTCCTGTTTCAGGGACTTCAGCTTATGCCAAAGATCAGACGATGTTCCATCGAACATGATTCTTATTATTTTCCTGCTGGTCGTGTTACCAGTTCCCCTGATTTTGGTCAGCTGCTCGATGACCTCTATTTCCCCCTCTAACCGAGAAAGCTCAGGAAACTTGTCCTTGAATAATCTTTGTATACTGGTATCCATCTGTGGATCATCGGGCTCGACGATGACCACCTTCACCACGCCGTCGTCAGTAGCTAACGGATTGCCGATGACCACCTCATTATCCCACCTCCTTTTCTCTAGATCTTTGTATTCATTCATAATTCCAATCATTGTTTCTGGTATTATTTCGGCTGCCAGTTTGACCGCTTCGGGAATTATTCCTAACCTAACCTAACCTAACCTAAGCTAACTTTTTTTTTTTTTGCTGAGGGGGAAATCGCGATGACACCAGTGGTTCTTCTGCACTGGTAGTGCCGGCCGTTACCCCGGCCAAAACCTCCCCATCGCCCTCTCGCATGCTTGGAACCATCTTAACGATATAGCATCAAGCATGGGCGGCGTATTTCATGCGTCCATTATTCCTTTCACTCATTTGCTTGGCTTTCTCTCTCCTCTGTTTCTTTTATTTCTATAATTTTTCTGAT